CTCGACTTGTCTTGTTGCCGTTTAAACACAGTTGAGAGGGTTAGAGTGGGGTGGATGGCGGCGCGTCTACTTCACTATACCTAACCAGTCACCGTCACTGCTCTTGAGCAAATGGTGGACATCTTCGCTTGCGATGGTCAAACTAACACACGGGGGCACAAGAAAGAAAAGAAATATAGCAAGCAAAAACGGGAAAAAGTAAAGAGAATTATCTTAAAAGGATAATATATAGTAACGACAAAGCGTGTGATAATTGAAAAATCAACAAAAAGCAACTTGCGACAAATCAGTGGTAACTGAATAAACCGCCTATGAGTAAGTCAGAGCACATCAGTAGCCAATGAGAAATGCAGCAAATACGAGGCAAGAAGGGTGAAACTGAAAACACTAAATGGCCACAATTATTTGAGTGATATGGGCGTGGTTTCACATATAACATATCGTTACCAACCGCAGAAATCACCCAAAATACTACCGCCTAATGGAAAAGGAGGGGTGAGAGGGAGTCAACGAAAGACAATCAAAATGCAAACCTTTGCAATCGCCTCAATGTCCTTGTAAGTGTAACAGGCCACCGGTCTTCCCGAGGATCGGTCGATCTGATCAATGGAGAAGGCGCCAATCTCGAGGAAAACGGGCTTTTCACCCTCAGCCCAGCCCAGTTTGACTCCGGACACACGCTGAGTAAAATGAGGAAAGAATAAAGGGTCAGTTAAACACAGGATTGCACGAACCAAAAAGGCTGAAAAGGACACTGCAACATTATTACCAATGTTAGCTGAGGCTGCCACCAAGAGCACCCCGGGAGTATTTCATCCAGAGGTCTAGTACTCAGAAGGACGACGGGAAGGCTAACAAGCGTTTTTTTTTGCTGTTGTTACTTGCCATACTAACAACCCAGGTACTAACTAAAGGGCCCATAGGCGTATTTCGCTGGTATTCTGCCACTACTTCACACAGCTGCGAGGGGTCCGGCTCATCAATGGGTCCCCCAGCTTACCGTGTTTGCCTACTGGTTGATATATCGGTTTTTAAAGATCAGCTTTTTAATTCATTTAGAGATTAATTTTTTTCATCGGTATACATCAGGATATTTAAGGTCTATAGCCAAAGACCGAAATTTGACAGTTCTTCCGATGACAAGCAGTACCGCGGAAGGGCGGCAGTTCGACCACGGAGTTCGATGATGTCCGTCGTATGCTCCAATGCATGGTGATGCAGGGACGCTGAATTACGCGTGGATTAAGTGATAATAGGCCTGTGTTGCATCTATCGCACTTTCTGTCCTGCTTCATTCACCCGGTGTCCAGGCAGAGTCAAGAAGACTGGAGGTGAAATCATGCGCAGGCAGCCAGAACCGCCGCGCCTGACTTATATCTCACGGAGTGGGAGTGCTATAATCGCCACGGGTGGCTGGTAACTGAGCCTGTACCTATGCGCGCCACCAACGCCTAATGGAAGTGGCGGCAAGGACCCCAGCTCACACAGCCTGGACTCCGCATCACACGGCTGCCCAAGAAAAGGCACCTCTTGAGGTTAATGACTGTCAAATTAAAGAAGTACGCAGTTTAAAATAACTTAGAGCGAAGATGCTGCCGAATGGAAAGAGTAAGGATGACATTGTCTCCCGAATAGACGCAGCTCGTTGAGTTTTCTCCAGCTTTAGAAAGTGCCTATGGACCCGGCGAGATATTGCTATAGCCACAAAAGTTCACATGTACCATGCATCTGTGCGGTCTGCCCTTCTCTACGGCTGTAAGTGCTGGGCTATGCGAGTCGAAGATGAACGGTAACTGGAGGTATTTGACTACTACTGTTAGAGGATCATCTTTCGACAGAAGTACAACGACTTCGTCTCAAATGAGACAGACCGCATTCGCTGCGACATCGGGAGGATATCCCAGGCCATCCAAGACAACTGAGGTGATTTGAACACGTTATTTGTCGGCAACCTCACTAGCTCAGTGTTACTACCCTCGACCCTAAACCGTTACCCAATTGAAGACGTCGAAGAGAGGGTCACCTCAAAACCTGTCTCGACTCATTCCGTCCAGACGTGGAAGTGGTTCTTGGACTATCGGTATTCAGTCTCCGGGGCTGGCGACGAGAGTGGATTGAACTTTTCTGGTATGCTGCCGCGGATCGTCAGGCATGGAGGTACCACCCCGGTGTCATCGAGGACGGTTAAATCAATTATGAACGCAGCCCTAACCAGTACAAGTACCTGGTCACAGTCCACACTTCACTAGAATATTAACACATCACAAAAATAGGGGCAAAAGC